CAACCACCCGAGCCACGGCCTGTTCACGCCACTATCATCCTGAAGGCGAGGTCAGTACAGGTGCATCAAAGCTGGGACCGAGAGACTGAAAAACAGCTTCTATTTCAAGGCCATCAGACTGTTAAATAGCCACCTTAAAGGCTGCTACCCTATATACATAGACATGGAATCACTGGCCACTTTAATAATGTTTACATCATGTTTACTCATTTCATATGTATATACTGTATTCTATTCTATTGTAATTTAGTCAATGCCACTCCGACATTGCTCGTCATAATATTTATATATTTCTCAATTCCATTATTTTACTTTTAGATTTGTGTGTATTGTTGTGAATTGTTAGATACTACTGCACTGTTGGAGCTAGAAACACAAGCAGTTCGCTACACCCGCAATAACTGCTAAAAAAATGTGTGTGACCAATAAAATTTGATTTGATAGCCTTGTTTTCCCATCACTATTGAATAGCGGTGGGAGCAATATAGCCGCGGCAGCCTATCAGAATAATTAGGGGCGTGGCCTATTTGGAGCATGGCTTTCAGTTTATCATCTTTGCAAATCCATGAGCGTGAATGTCAAGTTTAGTGCTGAAAGAAATAGGTTGCAACTTGAAATATAGGTTTGGTAATAATCAAATAAAACATTTGGCATTGAATCATATATTTGGTTTCAACAGATTTAGTATTTTTCAATTAAGAAAACCTAATTTAGGGGAGAGTGGGATAAGTTGAGCAATTTTTTACATTCAGCATCACTCCGTCAAAGGGAAATATAGTATTCTTTCTGCAAAATAGTATTCTTTCTGTATTGGTCACATACATCTGCTAAATATGTGTATGTGATCTTGAATGTGCCTTGAGAGGAATATTTATCTTGCATAGAACACACAAGCAGACTAGGTTAATAGATAAATTATTCTACTATGAGGTTGTCTGATTTTGTTTTAATAACAACATTACATGGCAAAAATAGTAGCACTGGAAAGTTGCATCCTAAGTGATAAAGTTTAGCCATTGAATTACATTTCCAGCAGCTTCAGTAGGCACACCACTGTCTGAGTTAAGCGCCACGGTGGTGCATATTATAGACTATTTAATTCCCTTCATCTGAACATCGGAGTGTCAGCAACAATCATACATTTCAGTTCAGTGCACACAGCATTTCAGCTTCCAGGAATTGTGTACAGATCCTTGCGACATGGGGCCGTGCATTATCATGCTGAAACATGAAGTGATGGCGGCGGATGAATAGCACGACAATGGGCCTCAGGATCTCATCACAGTATCTCTGTGCATTCAAATTGTCATCGATAAAATGCAATTGTGTTAATTGTTTGTAGCTTATACCTGCCCATACCATAAACCCACCGTCACCACCTCCCGAGTGGCGCAGTGGTCTATGGCACTGCATCGCAGTGCTAGCTGTGCCACTAGAGATCCTGGTTCGAATCCAGGCTCTGTCGTAGCTGGCCGCGACCGGGAGACCCATGGGGTGGCACACAATTGGCCCAGCGTCGTCCAGGGTAGGGGAGGGAATGGCCGGCAGGGATGTAGCTCAGTTGGTAGAGCATGGCGTTTGCAACGCCAGGGTTGTGGGTTCGATTCCCACGGGGGGCCAGTATGAAAAATAACATGTAAAATAATGTATGCACTAACAGTAAGTTGCTCTGGATAAGAGCGTCTGCTAAATGACTAAAATGTAAATGTATAGGGCACTCTTAAAGTTGACATCAGCAAACCGCTCACCCACACAACGGCATACACGTGGTCTGCGGTTGTGAGGCCGGTTGGATGTACTGCCAAATTCTCTAAAATGATGTTGGAGGCGGTTATGGTAGAGAAATTGACAAATTCTCTGGCAACAGCTCTGGTGGACATTCCTGCAGTCAGCATGCCAATTGCACGCTCCCTCAAAACCTGAGACATCTGTGGCATTGTGTTGTGACAAAACTGCACATTTTAGAGTGGCCTTTTATTGTCCCAAGCACAAGGTGCACCTGTGTAATGATCATGCTGTTTAATCAGCTTCTTGATATGTCACACCTGTCAGGTGGATGGATTATCTTGGCAAAGGAAAAATGCTCACTAACAGGGATGTAAACAAATTTGTCCTGAATTTGAGAGAAATAAGCTTTTTGTGTGTATGGGACATTTCTGGGATCTTTTATTTCAGCTCATGAAACATGGGACCAACACTTTACATGTTGCGTTTATATTTTTGTTCAGTGTATTTGGGAATATATTTAATAGAACAGACATGCTTCTGTATTAGGCCTGTCATCTCCAAACCAATATAGTACTAGTGGTAACAGTATACTATCCAGGTCTGTGCCCAAACAGTTTGAGCTTCTACTTCTAAAAATCCACCTTTCCAGAAATAAATCTCTCACTGTTGCCGCTTGCTACAGACCCCCCCTCAGCCCCCAGCTGTGCCCTGGACACCATATGTGAATTGATTGCCCCCCATCTATCCTCAGAGTTCGTACTGCTTGGTGACCTAAATTGGGATATGCTTAACACCCCGGCCATCCTACAATCTAAACTAGATGCCCTCAATCTCACACAAATTATCAACGAACCTACCAGGTACAACCCTAAATCCGTAAACATGGGTACCCTCATAGATATCATCCTGACTAACTTACCCTCTAAATACACCTCCGCTGTCTTCAACCAGGATCTCAACGATCACTGCCTTATTGCCTGCGTCCGTAACGGGTCCGCGGTCAAACGACCACCCCTCATCACTGTCAAACGCTCCCAAAAACACTTCAGCGAGCAGGCCTTCCTAATTGACCTGGCCCAGGTATCCTGGATGGATATAGATCTCATTCCGTCAGTAGAGGATGCCTGGTTGTTCTTTAAAAGTAATTTCCTCTCAATCTTAAATAGACATGCCCCATTCAAAAAATACAGAACTAAGAACAGATATAGCCCCTGGTTCTCCTCAGACTTGACTGCCCTTGACCAGCACAAAAACATCCTGTGGCGTACTGCATTAGCATCAAATAGCCCCCGCGATATGCAACTTTTCAGGGAAGTTAGGAACCAATATACACAAGCAGTTAGGAAAGCAAAGGCTAACTTTTTCAAACAGAAATTTGCATCCTGTAGCACTAACTCCAAAAAGTTTTGGGACACTGTAAAGTCCATGGAAAATAAGAGCACTTCCTCCCAGCTGCCCACTGCACTGAGGCTAGGAAACACTATCACCACCGATAAATCTACAATAATCGAGAATTTCAACAAGCATTTTGCTACGGCTGGCCATGCTTTCCACCTGGCTACCACTACCCCGGCCACCAGCTCTGCACCCTCCGCTGCAACTTGCCCATGCCCCCCCCCGCTTCTCCTTCACACAAATCCAGACAGCTGATGTTCTAAAAGAGCTGCAAAATCTGGACCCCTACAAATCATCTGGGCTAGACAATCTGGACCCTTTCTTTCTAAAACTAGCCGCCGAAATTGTCGCAACCCCTATTACTAGCCTGTTCAACCTCTCTTTCGTAACGTCTGAGATCCCCAGAGATTGGAAAGCTGCCGCGGTCATCCCCCTCTTCAAAGGGGGTGACACTCTAGATCCAAACTGTTACAGACCCATATCCATCCTGCCCTGCCTTTCAAAAGTTTTTGAAAGCCAAGTCAACAAACAGATCACCGACCATTTCGAATCCCACCGTACCTCCGCTATGCAATCCGGTTTCCGAGCTGGTCATGGGTGCACTTCAGCCACGCTCAAGGTCCTAAACGATATTATAACCGCGATCGATAATAGACAGTACTGTGCAGCCGTTTTCATTGACCTGGCCAAGGCTTTCGACTGTGTCAACCACCGCATTCTTATTGGCAGACTAAATAGCCTTGGTTTCTCAAATGACTGCCTCGCCTGGTTCACCAACTACTTCTCAGATAGAGTTCAATGTGTCAAATCGGAGGGCCTGTTGTCTGGACCTATGGCAGTCTCTATGGGGGTGCCACAGGGTTCAATTCTTGGGCCGACTCTTTTCTCTGTGTATATCAATGACGTCGCTCTTGCTGCTGGTGACTCTCAGATCCACCTCTACGCAGACGACACCATTTTGTATACATCTGGCCCTTCATTGGACACTGTGTTAACAAACCTCCAAACGAGCTTCAATTCCATACAACACTCCTTCAGTAGCCTCCAACTGCTCTTAAACACTAGTAAAACTAAATGCATGCTCTTCAACCGAACGCTGCTTGCACCCGCCCACCCGACTAGAATCACTACTCTCGACGGGTCTGACCTAGAGTATGTGGACAACTACAAATATCTAGGTGTCTGGTTAGACTGTAAACTCTCCTTCCAGACTCACATTAAGAATCTCCAATCCAAAGTTAAATCTAGAATCGGTTTCCTATTTCGCAACAAAGCCTCCTTCACTCATGCTGCCAAACATGTCCTCGTAAAACTGACTATCCTACCGATCCTTGACTCTGAAGCTGGAGACACTTATCTCCCTCACTAACTTTAAGCATCAGTTGTCAGAGCACCTTACCGATCACTGCACCTGTACACAGCCCATCTGAAATTAGCCCGCCCAACTACCTCATCCCTATATTGTTATTTATTTTGCTCATTTGTACCCCAGTATCTCTATTTGCACATCATCTCTTGCACATCTATCATTCCAGTGTTAATACTAATTGTAATTATTTTGCACTATAGCCTATTTTATTGCCTTACCTCCATAACTTGCTAAATTTGCACACTGTATATTATATGTATTTCTGTTGTATTTTTGACTTTGTTTTGTTTTACCCCATATGTAACTCTGTGTTGTTGTTTTTAATCGCACTGCTTTGCTTTATCTTGGCCAGGTCGCAGTTGTAAATGAGAACTTGTTCTCAACTGGTTTACCTGGTTAAATAAAGGTGAAATAAAAAATTAATTAAAAAAAATAAAAACAGTAATAGCAGCAGTAGAAGTAGTACCTGTTGTGGGTCGGCCTGCTGGCGTGGGTTTTGGGGGAACTTCCTCTGGTTCTGTAGGAGCTGTTGGAGCTGCTGTGGTGAGGTGAGCTGCTGCTGCTGGGGGTTCTGCTGCTGCTGCTGGAGGAGAAGTTGGCAGGCCTGGGGGAGAGGGATAGACGACTGTAAACACCTGTTACAACACCCTAAAGAAGAGGAGGGCAGTCTGAACACAGCAGCTACAGGGAGGAGGGGTATGAACAGAGGTGGATGGTTGATAGAGCCGTAAGTTCTCAAAAGATGGAGACCGTCTAATTTTTTTAACAAATTGGTACTTCTCATAGGCCTACAGTACATTCGGAAAGTATTCAGACCTCTTCACTTTTTCCACATTTTGTTACGTTACAGCCTTATTCTAAAATTGATTTAAAAAATATAAACCCTCATCAATCTACACACAATATCCCATAATGACAACGCGAAAACAGGCAAGACATTTTTGTACATTTATTAAACCTAAAAAAACAGAAAAACCTTATTTCCATTAGTATTCAGACCCTTTGCTATGATACTCGGTATTGAGCTCAGGTGGATCCTGTTTCCATTGATCATCCTTGAGATGTTTCTACAACTTGATTGGAGTCCACATGTGGTAAATTCAATTGATTGGACATGATTTGGAAGGGCACACACTAAGGTCCCACAGTTGACAGTGCATGTCAGAGCAAAAACCAAGCCATGAAGAAATTGTCCGTAGAGCTCCGAGACAGGATTGTGTTGAGGCACAGATCTGGGGAAGGGTACCAAAAAAATTGGCCTCAATCACTCTTAAATGGAAGAAGTTTGGAATCAAAGAGACTCTTCCTAGAGCTGGCCGCCCGGCCAAATTGAGCAATCGGGGGAGAAGGGCCTTGGTCAGGGAGGTGAACAAGAACCCGATGGTCACTTTGACAGAGCTCCAGAGTTCCTCCTTCAAGAAGGACAACCATCTCTGTAGCACTCCACCAATCAGGTCTTTATGGTAGAGTGGCCAGACGGAAGCCACTCCTCAGTAAAAGGCACATGACAGCCCGCTTGGAGTTTGCCAACAGGCACCTAAAGACTCTCAGACCATGAGAAACAAGATTCTCTGGTCTGATGAAACCAAGATGGAACTCTTTGGCCTGAATGCTAAGTGTTACGTCTGTGGGAAACCAGGCACCGCTCATCACCTGGCCAATACCATCCCTACGGTGACGCATGGTGCTGTGGGGATGTTTTTCAGCGGTAGGGACTGGGAGACTAGTCAGGATCGAGGGAAAGATGAACGGAGCAAAGTACAGAGAGATCCTTGATGAAAACATGCTCCAAGGCAAAGGTTCACCTTCCAACAGGACACCGACTCTAAGCACACAGCCAAGACAACGCAGGAGTGGCTTCGGGACAAGTCTCTGAATGTCCTTGAGTGGCCCAGCCAAAGCCCGGACTTGACCCCGATCTAACATCTCTGGAGAGACCTGAAAATAGCGGTGCAGCAACGCTCCCATCCAACCTGACAGAGCTTGAGAGGATCTGCATAGAAGAATGGGAGAAACTCCCCAAATACAGGCGCGCCAAGCTTGTAGCGTCATATCCAAGAAGACTCAAGGCTGTAATTGCTGCCAAAGGTGCTTCAACAATGTACTGAGTAAAGGGTCTGAATACTTACATAAATGTGATATTTCAGTTGTTGTAAAAAATAAAATAAAAAATTGCAAACATATCTAAAAACCTGTTTTTGCTTTGTCATTATGGGGTATTGTGTGCAGATTGATGAGAAAAAAAAATATATATTTTAGAATAAGGCTGTAACGTAAAATGTGGAAAAAGTGAACGTGTCTGAATACTTTCCGAATATGTATATACCTTTTATATAGGTATATAAAAACATTGATGGTTCAGCCAACATGGCTTTAATCAGAACAAATCTAAGGTAAGTTTTGGTGTTCCTCAAGGCTTTGTTCTCTGACCACTACTGTGCTCATTCTAGAGTTGTATATGAGTATAGCTACTCACCAGCTGGAACTGGATGTGCGGGGGGTAGATGCTGCTCAGCATGGCGATGTGCTGGGGGGACAGCTGAGGGGGGAACACGCCCCCTCCTACACCCCCCACCCCACCCCCGACTCCACCTACGCTGGTGCTGGGAGGCGGCATCTGCTTCAGCACGGAACCTGGCACCTGGAACACGGACCATCGGTGTTACCATGGGAACGTGGAATATAAAGTATCTTCTGTCTAGCACATTCTTTCTGAAAACAGCAAATCAGTGAGTGCACTACTCATCGATTTGGTGAGGGTTTCTTCCTCCATTGAGTGTGGTCACCTAATCACTTCCATTAGCCGATGATCAAGGCAGGCTGGTGAAATAAATCACATCTCTGGAAACAACATGTTTCACAGAAAGAACTTACTAAGAAGCCAACGGACCAAACATCTATTGTTCTGAGCAGAGGTTGGGGCATATAGGAGACTGATTTACATAAGGGATATTGATCCGCAAGTCTGTTGAAAAAAGCCTTGTAAAGGTGAACGTTAAAACAACTGATTACTTCTAGAGTCTGATCAAATGTATAAAAAATATATAAAAAACTGTACCTGAGGTGACAGGAACTGATGAGGCACTTGTGCTCGTATCCCTGCGGACGGGTTTATGGGTGGCACACCGGGCTGGTGTCTGGACGGGGGCATCCCACCACCGCTGCTGCCAAACACGTTATGACCACCCTGACAAGGGAACAGATAGAGGGAGGGAGAGGGTTACAAACATGGCTGACTCTTTAACAGACATTAAGATGAGGGTGATAGGGTGGGAAATGACATTGACACAGAGGAGCTGATTTTGGGGTATTTTTTACTTGATGTTTAAAAGGGAAAATCTGTGATTGATACATACATTTTTTTAACTTTTAAATTAATGATATGTACTCATTGATTTTTTAAGAATACAATTTGAGGGATGGACAGTAAGATAAGTTTATATCTACAGGGAGATGTGGTGAAGTAGCCTGGTCACAGATCTTTATGTACTTATGGAATAACAACAATAGAGTTGGCTAAAGCAGAAACAGATCTGGGACCAGGTAAATAGTGAAGCAATGAGCTGATGGTCTGATGGAGACAGAGCGACACAGCCTTACTTGTCTAGGGGGGATAGTGTGGTTGTAGAGGGGGGAGGGCTTGTAGACAGTGGGCGGAGAGTACTCCTCCCCAAGGCACCCATCCTGATTGGTGAAAGGCAAGGTCTGCTGATCGCAGTGACAGCCAATCGAAGTAGTTTCCCAATTTGGGGGAAGAAGTAGGCAAGACAGGGAAGGGACAGGAAGAAAAATATCAAAAGGAGGAGGGGTCAGGAAGAAGGACACCAAAAGAAGGTGGGGTCAGGAAGAAGGATACCAAAAGAAGGTGGGGACAGGAAGAAGGATACCAAAAGAAGTGGGGGAGGGAAGAAAGAGACATAGATGAAAGTGTTAACGAGACAAGAGATACTTTGAGAACAATCAAAGTCACACAGCAGTTGCGTCCGAAATGGAACCCTATACCCTTTAGAGTGCACTAGTTTTGGCCAAAAGTAGTGTACTATAAAGGGAATAGGGTGCCATTTGGGACACATCCAGAGAGCGTTGTGATGTCTGGGGTACCAACCTTGTCATAGTAAGGCCCAGGGTCGCCAGGCCCCATCTCTTTGGAACCAGGTGAACGGTAGACCATCCCTCCTCCTCCCACACCTCTCTGCCCTCCTTTACGCATCTCTCCATTGTAGTCGTTCAGGCCCATCCCTCGCTTCTCTCCTTCCATTTTCTTATCCTGAGGAGGACCAGGGGCCAAGTCCAGAGGCCGCCCACTAGGATCATCACCCTGCAAACACAGCACATATCTTCATCACTACCACCATCATAACCAACCCCAACATAACTATTGGCATGGCATCCTCATTGTAATATTTACAAAACATTTCTCACGACATACAGTATCGCAAACACAACCTATGCGTGCCCACACAGTGGATGTCTATGGGCTCTAAACCTTGTATTTTCTCTGAAACTTACCAGGAGCCCCATGTTGGAGAACTGTTTGTTCATGGGGTTCATCCAGGAGTCTCCTCCTCCACTCTTCAGGGGAGCCTGAGAGACAAACATACAGATATAACATTTCTGGCAGTAGGTTTTTTTCTGGAACAACCATTATGAAACAAGAAGCCAAGGTCTCAATCCAACTCCTCTCAAGTATCTGAATGAGGCAACAACCATACAAAATATAACCAAACCCATTGTGGATGCTGTCCTACCTTGCTGTTGGGCTTCTTGCCCCCGTGACCTTGGCCCCAGCCCCCACTGTTGTAGGAAGAGCTGCTGCCCTGGGACCCAATGCTGTTCCACACCCCTGCTCCTCCCTCCTCCTCCTCTTCCTCCCAGCTGGAGTGACGCGAGGCAGCCACCGATCCCTGGTCTCCCTCACCCCAGCCTCCTTCTTGCATAGACTTTGAACCTGCTAGGGAAATAACAATGAGTAGCATTATTACACCAATAATATGCTATGTGTTACAATGACACTGCAAATCTTTGACTGTGTCCAGATTTTTGGGAGACATTTTGTAAACAAACTCTATGTCTCTACCATATATGGTTCAAAAGTTACAGAAGATTTACTCTGAAGATTTAGCATGATTAGAGTGAATATAATATTATTACGGCCATGGTCAAAAGTGGTCGCTGCGCACTAGAACTCGGTCACTGCTCCGTGGTCAGAACGGCACTAACTTCAAACGTCAACTGACAAGCTAGCGGCTGCAGGTTTGTGTGATAACATGGACTTTTTCTAAATGAAATCCTCGGAATACAAAAAAATTTTTTGCATACACATATACAGTGCATTCGGAAAGTATTCAGACCCCTTGACTTTTTCCACATTGTTACGGTAAAGCCTTATTCGAAAATTGATTAAATAAAAAATGTTCCTCAATCTACACACAATACCCCATAATGACAAAGTGAAAACAGGTTTTTAGAAATATTTGCAAATGTATTAAACCTAAAAGAAATATAAGTATTCAGACCCTTTGCTATGAGACTCAAAATTGAGCTCAGGTGCATCCTGTTTCCATTGATCATCCTTGGGATGTTTCTACAACTTGATTGGAGTCCACCTGTGGTAAATTCAATTGATTGGACATGATTTGGAAAGGCACACACCTGTCTAAGGTCCCACAGTTGTCAGTGCATGTCAGAGCAAAAACCAAGCCATGAGGTCGAAGGAATTGTCCGTAGAGCTCCGAGACAGGATTGTGACAAGGCACAGATCTAGGGAAGGGTACCAACAAAATTGACCTCAATCACTCTTAAATGGAAGAAGTTTGGAACCACCAAGACTCTTCCTAGAGCTGGCTGCCCGGCCAAACTGAGCGATCGGGGGAGAAGGGCCTTGGTCAGGGAGGTGATCAAGAACCCGATGGTCACTTTGACAGCGCTCCAGAGTACCTCTGTGGAGATGGGAGAATCTTCCAGAAGGACAACCATCTCTGCAGCACTCCACCAATCAGGCCTTTATGGTAGAGTGGCCAGACGGAAGCCACTCCTCAGTAAAAAGGCACATGACAGCCCACTTGGAGTTTGCCAAAAGGCACCTAAAGGATGCAGACCATGAGAAACAAGATTATCTGGTCTTATGAAACCAAGATTGAACTCTTTGGCCTGAATGCCAAGTGTCAAGTCTGGAGCAAACCTGGCACCATCCCTATGGTGAAGCATGGTGGTGGCAGCATCATGCTGTGGGGATGTTTTCAGGGGCAGGGACTGGGAGACTAGTCAGGATCGAGGGAAAGATGAACGGAGCAAAGTACAGAGAGAACCTTGATGAAAACCTGCTCCAGAGCAATCAAGACCTCAGACTGGGGCAAAGGTTCACCTTCCAACAGGACAACAACCCTGAGCACACAGCCAAGACAACGCAGGAGTGGCTTCGGGACAAGTCTCTGAATGTCCTTGAGTGGCCCAGCCAGAGCCCGGACTTGAACCCGATCTAACATCTCTGGAGACCTGAAAATAGCGGTGCAGCAACGCTCCCATCCAACCTGACAGAGCTTGGGAGGATCTGCAGAGGAGAATGGGAGAAACTACCCAAATACAGGTGTGCCAAGCTTGTAGCGTCATACCCAAGAAGTCTCGAGGCTGTAGTCGCTGCCAAAGATGCTTCAACAAAGTACTGAGTAAAGGGTCTGAATACTTATGTAAATGTGATATTTCCGTTTTTTTTTGTTATTCATTTGCAAAAATGTCTACAACCCTGTTTTTGCTTTGTCATTATGGGGTATTGTGTGTAGATTGATGAGGGGGAAAAACTATTTAATCCATTTCAGAAGAAGGCCGTAACGTAACAAAATGTGGGAATAGTCAAGGGGTCTGAATACTCTCTGAATGCACTGTTCCTAGTCAGACATCGTCAGGTCTTTTTGAGGCGTTACAGTAGTTAGTTCCCTTACCAGATTTGATGGGATTGGGTGAGGGGTTTCCCCAGCCAGAGGTGTTCTTCCCAGGGTCCTCCCCAGGGTCTCCCCAGCCGGTGGGGGTCTCAGTGGGCTTCCCCCAGGCTGCGGTGCCGTTGTCCACCGGGGGGTCTGAGGGAGAGCCACCATCCCAGCCAGACGATGGAGCTACACACACAGGCAGGCATAGGGATGTATCCATCAGTGATAGTGGTTTGTTTGATTTATGTACTGTGCTCTATAGGTTTCTGGGAAAAGATTGATTTCTACAAGGCTTATCCATTATGTCTTTAACATCAAATCCTTCCTTCCACTCCACATGTCTATAAGATAGGTAATAGGCCTAATCTTATATTCAAAAATCAATGCGAACAGCCCAGCATCATAAAGTATAGCACATTAGCCTAACAGCTAGTCTCTTACCCATCCCTGGAGCTTTCCCAGGTCCAGGTCCATGGCTAGGGTTGATGTCCCTGCCTCCCATCCCAGTGGGCTGCCTCCCAGGCCCAGGCTGCTGCTGTAGAGCTGGAGGCCCCTGCTGCTGCTGCTGTTGGGGCGGTGGTCCTGGTCCTTGGCCGTGCATTGGCAGCTGCTGACCAGCTGGAGCGCCGTTCTTCTCCCACAGGTTGACAGCCTTGTTATTAAACTGGCTGGGGTCTCCCCAAGCCGACGTCCCATCGTCAATGTCCATCTTCCTGCTAATGAATTGTGGTGAAGGTTCCTCCCACCCGCTGGACTCCGGCCCCTCTCCTCCCTTAGGACCGCTGGGGATGGGTCCGGCCGTCCAGCCGGAGCTGCTTTGGTTCTGGGCCTGGGGGCCCGATGGTCTCCCCCAGCCCCCTCCTCCTTGTATGTCCCCTGGGTCCAGCGCTTGCTGCGGTAGCGGCTGCTGTGATTGTTGCTGCTGCTTTTGTGCCATGGGGCCTTTCAGAGAGGCCGTCTGGCTGTTTGGCATCTGTGACGGGTGCATTTTCCCACCCCCCCAACGTCCCTGGTGGGGTTTGGAGCCCCCCATGTCCACACCTGCCCCTCCTCCACCCGTACCTCCTGTCCCCCAGGCTCTCCTCGGGGCTCCCTCGTCCCAGCTACCCCACGTACCGATTTCTGAGTCTCCCCCACCTCCTTTCCTATCCTCTCCCCATCCTCCACTGCTTGATTTGGCCTCTCGCTCTCCCCAGTCCCCCCCACCCCTCTCCCTCTGTCCACCACACCCTCCTCCATCCCTCCCCATCTCCTTCCATCCTCCTCCTGTCCCTTTCTCCTCCTGGCTGCCTCCCCAGCCACCTCCACCTTGGTTACCCTGTTGTCCATTATCGGCCCACCCTCCTCCTCCACCACCTCTACTGCGTTCCCTTCCTCCACCCCACTCTGACCCTTCGTTCCCCCATCCTTTTACTTGGCTCTCCCCTGGTCCTACCCCACCCCAGCATCCTGTAGGCTTCCCCTGGCCTGGTCCAAGGCCTCCTCCTCCTCCTCCCATACCTGCTCCAGTGGTCATTGACCCCGATTGTGTGACACCAGAAGGATTCCTCATGTTGGATCCCGGGTGAGGTGGTCCTCGGTTGGGTAGGGAGTTGCTGCAACTGTTGCTGCTGTTACCACCACTCTCCCAGCCCTCCCCAGAGCTACCAGAGGTCCCCAGGGAAGGGTTGGAGTTCAGGTTGGGAACTGAGCCAGGGAGAAGGGAAGGAGAATCAGTAGTTGAAGCAGAGCCAGTGGAGTATTGAGAAGACGGACCAATGGGAGGTGAAGAGTTTTTGGATGAAGCAATCGACCCAGAACCTCCTTTTCCTGGTTCTAGGTCCCAGGCCACGTTCTGTCTGATCTGGGTCTGGCCCCAGCCCGTGTTGGAGAGGACGCGCGGGTCCAGGTCATTGCGGCTGAGCATTGCCTGTAAGGCCACTTCAGGGTTGGGTGGTGGGGGATGGGAATACCGGTGGTGGCCGTACCCGTGGTGTTGATTGTGATTGCCGCCGCCTCCACCTCTGGAGTTTCCCCCACCGCTGGATGAAGCATTACCTCCTCTTCCGCCCTGGCCTCCCCCCCACTCCCCTGTGTCCCCCCCTGCCCCTCCGTCCCCCCCTCCAACTCCCTTCTGATTGTCCCAAGCTCTTGTCGTAGTGGTGGATGATTTGGGAGAGGAAGAGGCAGCAGGGGGGTTGCCGATGCTGCCCCCACTGCTGCTGCTGCTACTGCTACGGCCGCCGACACCACCAGCCTCCCCTCCTGGATTTCCACCTCCACCCATCCCACCTGAATTACCTCCCCAGTCTCCAACTGAAGAGCCTTGCTCTCCTCCTCCTCCCCACCCTCCCTGAGATACCCCGGGGGTCTGAGTGTTACCCCCACTTCCAGCACCCCAGGCTTTCCCTCCATTACCCCCCTGAGCGCTGTACCCCCACCGCGAGCCTCCACCACCCTCAGCAGTTCCCCCTTCCCAACCATCAGTCCTTGAGGCACCCGTTTTGGAGTTAGCAGCGGGGAAAGGCTGGCCTCTCCATGAGGAGGAAGAGGTTTGGGAAGCAGAGAGGTTGTCTCCCCCGTTGCCTCCTACCCCACAGTCTATATCGGCTCCCTCCCCTGTCCCCGCATTTTTTGGTCCCGCTCCGGACTCCAGCGCCGCTCCGCCCCACCCCCCGTCCGTTGGGTGCTCTCTGTCTCTGGATTGCATTTGGTGAAGTTGGTGCTGATGAGCGGATTGATTCACAGCTAGAGGTGGGTTCCCCAGGGCTGGGGGAGGGTTGTTGGCAGACAGAGACCCAGCCTGGCTCTGGAGGGAAGAGGGGGGGGCACCCTCAGAGGAAGCTGCCCCAGCTCCATCCTGCTGCACTAGGGCAGGCCAGGCGGAAGGATTGGCATTTGGGTTGAAGTTGGCACCAGGGATCCCCGCACTGCCACCAAGGGAGCCATCAGGGCCCACTGGGAGAGGGGAGGATTTGGGAATGGTGGGCAATGACACCCCTGGGGCTGCATTCACTCCTACAGGACATTGTGAGGCAGCAGACCCCCACACCACACTGCCGGACAGCATACATTCATTGGACATTGAGAAAGAGGAAGTGGGTGAAGGACTGCCAGGATCGCCACCTTTCCATGAGGCACAGCTGTTCTGCATTCCACCACCGCCCTCCCCCGACGACTCACTACCGCTTCCTGGCCCTGAAGCTCCACCTCCCACTGCTCCGCTCCCGTCGCCAGTGGCGATGCTAGGCCACTCCTCCAGGTCCGAGCCGTCCACGATGACCTTCTCCCTGCCCTGAGAGGAGGGCAGGCTGCCAGAGCCCGCCCCCCACGTGGAATTTGCATAATTTGAAGAAGAAGAAGAAGCAGCGATTGACGATGAGGAGGATGATGAGGTGAGGGGCAGTGAGGGTGCAGCTGGACCCACATAGCCTGGACTGGAATCTGGACGGGAAACAACATAAAGACACATGATTAATGCCTAAATGGAAGGTTAAAGTAGACACACACATTGACTGCCGCCCAATCTTTACAGACTTGGACACAGAAAAAACAGATTGTTTTCCCCAAAACATTCTACCAAGACAAAGAAGGGAAAGTGGGATGCACTTCTAAAGTATTCAAACAGAGCCTAACTTTGCATGATGCTCCATTTCAACTCCTGCCAGACACCCACCTGAGGCAGCAGCCATGGTTGGATTAGGGCCGTCTCCCCCTCCTGCCCCAGTGCCTCCCCCCAGTAGCATGGAGGACAGCGGCGGCTGGCCCCTCTTCAGTAGCACTTTGTGGTCTTGCTGGCAGCGGAATCGCGGGGGCACTTCGCGGGGCATGTAGCGCTGGGGGGCCTGGGTGCCTGCTGCGGGGGGCTGTCCGTTGGCCACCGCCGGCCGCTTCGCATTGTTCCCGCCCTGAGGGGGGGCGCCGCCTGCAGCCGCGGTGGCAGGGGAGGAGGATGCCGAGGGGGTGGGTCCAGGGCTGGGGGAAGCAGAGCTGGGGGCGGCAGGAGACTGGGTGGACAAGGGCTTGGTCAATTCTGGCACTGCATGGTGAAGGAGAAGGGGGAAAAGTCAGTAAGGAGTATAAAGGTCATTTAGCATAAAAATTGTGATATGAAATTAAAAGAAAATGTCCTAATGGATAACAAAGCATTGTATATAGCTATCATCATCGTTTGAAATAAGAGGCAAATAGCCACATGCATCTAACCAATAGACCAGACCTGGTTAAAATACATGCGTATTTCAATTAATGTGGCCAAATATACTACTTTATTTTAAGTATCTGAAAGTATTTTCAAATAATTTCCTATAAATAGTATGGCTTGGGCCATTTAGCGGGGTATTTGGAAATATCCACGGGATGGGTTTTCAATACCGTTGAAACTATTTCAGATTTTTTATACAGTACCAGTCAAAGGTTTGGACACACCTACTCATTCAAGGGCTTTCTTTTATTTTTTACATTGTAGAATAATAGTGAAGACATCAAAACTATGAAATAACACATATGGAATCATGTAGTAACCAAAAACATGTTAAACAAATCTAAATATATTTTATATTTGAGATTCTTCAAATAGCCACCCTTTGCCTTGATGACAGCTTTGCACACTCTTGGCATTCTCTCAACCAGCGTCATGAGGTAGTCACCTGGAATGCATTTCAATTAACAGGTGTGCCTTCTTAAAATTTAAATTTGTGGAATATATTTCCTTCTTAATGCGTTTGAGCCAATCAGTTGTGTTGTGACAATGTAGGGGGGTATACAGAAGATAGCCCTATTTGGTAAAAGACCAAGTCCATATTATGGCAAGAACAGCTCAAATAAGCAAAGAGAAACGACAGTCCATTACTTTAAGACAAGCGCTATGATGACTGGCTCTCATGAGGACTGCCACAGGAATGGAAGACCCAGAGTTACCTCTACTGCAGAGGATACATTCATTAGTTACCAGCCTCAGAAATTGCAGCCCAAATATATGCTTCACAGAGTTCAAGTAACAGACACATCTCAACATCAACTGTTCAGAGGGGACTGTGTGAATCAGGCATTCATGGTCGAATTGCTGCAAAGAAACCACTACTAAAGGACAACAATAATAAGAAGAGACCTGCTTGGGCCAAGAAACACGAGCAATAGACATTAGACCGGAGGAAATTTGTCCTTTGGTCTGGAGTCCAAACTGGAGATTTTTGGTTCCAACCGCTGTGTCATTGTGATACGCGGTGTGGGTGAACGGATGATCTCCGCATGTGTAGTTCCCACCGTAAAGCATGGAGGAGGTGTTATGGTGTGGGGGTGCTTTGCTGGTGACACTGATTTATTTAGAATTCAAGGCACACTTAACCAGCATGGCTACCACATCATTTTGCAGCGATACGCCATCCCATTTGGTTTGGGCTTAGTGGGACTATCATTTGTTTTTCAACAGGACAATGACCCAACACACCTCCAGGCTGTGTAAGGGCTATTTTACCAAGAAGGAGAGTGAAGGAGTGCTGCATCACATGACCTGGCCTCCACAATCCCCCGACCTCAACCCAATTGAGATGGTTTGGGATGAGTCAGATGGCAGAGTGAATGAAAAGCAGCCAACAAGTGCTCAGCATATGTGGGAACTCCTTCAAGACTGTTGGAAAACCATTTCAGGTGAATCTGGTTGAGAGAATGCCAAGAGTGTGCAAAGCTGTCATCAAGGCAAAGGGTGGCTATTTGAAGAATCTCAAATATAAAATATATTTTGATTTGTTTAACACTTTTTTGGTTAATACATGATTCCATGTGTTATTTCATAGTTTTGATGTCTTCACTATTATTCTACAATGTAAAAAATAGTTTAAAAAAAAGAAAAACCCTTGAATGAGTAGGTGTGTCCAAACTTTTGACTGGTACTGTAAATCTGAATATTTGTAGCTACTTTAAGTAAATAACTGCAATTAACTTGTGCAATAAGTTAGGAGATAAAGCAGACTGCGTTCTTCATTTCACCCTTCACATTATTTTTCATTTTGAAGCTTACGGGTAGTCCCCAGTCACATGGTGTATGTTTTCTTTATTTCTTGTAATTTTTACCCCCCTTTTCTCCCCAATTTCGTGATTACGATCTTGTCTCATCGCTGCAACTTCCCAACGGGCTTGGGAGAGTCGAAGGTCGAGTCATGCATCCTCCAAAACATGACCCGCCAAACCACGCCTCTTAACACCCGCTTGCTTAACCCGGAAGCCAGCTGCACCAATGTGTCAGAGGAAACACTGTTCAACTGAAGACCGAAGTCAGCCTGCTGGCGCCAGGCCCGCAACTAGGAGTCGCTAGAGCGCAATGAGCCAAGTAAAGCCCCCCCGGCCAAACCCTCCCCTAACCCGGACAACGCTGGGCCAATTGTGCGCCGCCCTACGGGACACCCGGTCAAGGCTGGTAATGACACAGCCTGGGATCGAATGGGTGACGCCGCAACACTGCGATGCAGTGCTTAGACCGCTGCGGCACTCGGGAGGCCAACATGGTGTATGTTTTCAAGCACATAACGACGAGAGACCGTTGACTGCTGTGCAGCACGCGCCAGGAAATCTAGTTACAGTATGGGAATTATAACTTTAATGTTTGCCAGCTAGATATCTTATAACTAAGTTAACTGTCTAAAATGCTCTGCAGTTGAACATTTGGTTTGCTAATTTAGTAGCTAGTTATCTAGCTAAGTGGTTAGCTTCTTGCGAAATCAAGACAGTCTTGGTAACAGCAGAGAATCCCCTCCTGGATCAAGAGCCTTGCCGTCTAATAATTGCTTTGTGCGTGCAGCAAACTGAGAGTAGTAATTTTGAGTTACTTGTATAACTTTAAGAGCTGGGATGTCTGTCCTGCAAATAGTTTGTCAGAGACTGTATAACATTTTGCAATGCGTTCATTAGCATTTAGCTAGCATTCACAACGGGATTTTACATGTACTTGTTAGCATTGCTAACCTTCGGATTAGAGCCTCAGTGGGGTTCGAAAAGAGCGCCTCTTGTGTTCAGTGCCAGTATTACCGAATATCCTGGGATGTCACAAGGTTAGTATGACAATTTGGATACCGCCCAAGTCTAATTTGAAACTATTTTCTACTTGTTTCCCAATACATTTAAAATAAACCTAGGGCACATCAGACCTGAGTTGAAATGCATGGAGTATTTCAATATTTGTATTTGAGTATTTTCAAATGCATGTCAATATTTTCCAAATGTATTCCCTAATATATTCCAATATTCAGTTACTTGTGAGAAGGATGGAAGAGGGAAAGAAACTGTGCTCTTTATCTGATGGATAGTGTGTCACTGGTGTGACAAAGCACAAAGCCAACCGCATAAAAAAACAAAGCTCAGACACCCAGAACTAAAATCTTGCGTAATTGCGTCAGATGCTTGATTAAGTTCTGGTGGGAGACATATTAGAAAATGTACTAAAGAGACTAGCGAAGTCTCCATCCCTCCAAAACAGAAACTCAGCCAGTTTAGGGCAAGTCTATGGACCAAATGTCCCCTCCCCTTCCGAAAATTAAAAAGATGCGAGCACTTGCGAAATCGTGATTTCACGGACAACAGTACTAAATCCTTGTTAGTTGTTGCAAAAAAATTGCTAGCGTTGAGAACGACAAAACCGGCACGAGCAGACCGAGAAACAGGTGGGGCCTTGTGAACTTAGCAACCAGGTGAATCTAGCAGAGGACACAAAGACACTGCTCACCTTTGTTTTTTTGCTCTGCAACCTGAAAAAAGACAAATGTACATCAGATGCCATATATGGTGATATTCATTCAAGTGAAAGCCAAACAGCACTGTATGAATGGCAAAGGTGGCCAATGAAAGACAGTAAAATATGTGTGGCAGTGGCACTGACTGGTTGGAAGAGTACTGTGGTCTGGACAGAGTGCCAGGCATAACAACACTAATCAACTATCAATTCTTCATTACATTTAATTTCTTGAGACTTGTTGTGTGTATTTCATACAACTTTGCAATATTGAATATGCCCCAGCTGGCCAGGTCATCACAACTTGGTGATATCATGTAGCCTATAATCTGGTTAATCAGAGTACTATTGTGTCATAACTTAAGTTCTAAGAAAAATGATAAGACTGCAACAATTTAAACTCAGCATCACTCAGGGCAAAGTTGTATGTTGGCGTGGAAATACATCTTTACCTTCTGAGAGGCTTCCCTTTTCCTTTTGTCGTCTTTCTTCCTTTTCTTGTCTTCCATGAACTACTGTTCCCTTTCCTGATACTCCTTTCTGTGGGAGAGAGGAAATAGAAGAAAAACATTATAAACCATAAACCAGTGCAACTTTCCTTAGAACAATCAGTATTCTGGCGTGATCCACAATGATTTACAGCCTAGGGCTCAGAAGATTTTTTGGCAGGTGCTGTACTGTTCATAGGGTAATTATCCACATAATAAACCTGCAGGAAATTTCAGGCTTATCCTCCCCTCCAAGCCTTGTGAGTTAGCCATTAAAAGGATGGAGCGTTCAGTTCTTGTCCTAAGCTTCGAATGCTAAAGGCCCAGTCCTGTTGACAAGGGAGGGACACACTTTCTAATGCCATGTTTTCAAACATATGACTTTATGCTAGCTAGCCTATAACAGCAGTGTAAGGGTTCTGAAGTCTGGCTGCCTTGACACACAAATAAAAATTCAGGTACTGTTTCCAAAAGGTCAGATATACTAAACAGGTTGCTATTTAGCTTAAGGAACCCATAAGAAAGCATTCAAATAAAAAACGGTGCTTGTACATCACAAATAGACATGAACTGCCACCACACTCATTGTTGATAAGAGTCAAGGTGACACATTATCATGGACACAATGCTCTGCAAATGACCTATAAAGCCAACGAAACTGATCATGATGCGAGTGAGCAGCTGTTTGGCCCTTCTTTCTCAGTGACATAGTTAACGTTAGAGCCTATGGGGGGCCCACTGTGAGCCACGGGCCACAGTTGTCATGATTTCGGGAGCTCGAGGTACAGAGTCAGACTTATTTAGCTAGTTACGTTAGCTGCAACAG